TATGAAAGTTGTTTAAACTAGAATATGTTCACAGCTGAAAATTGTTTCAATAAAAACAAGGTGAAGTTAGTAAAGTTTAAGCCTCCTGAACACTGATTAAGTTCAGTATATTTATTAGAATTTAATTTTAAAGGTAATTGATTGTTTTGTTTTTAAATGACGATGTTTTTAATTAATATTAAGGATATTAATCAAATTAATCAGTAGATTAATCAAGAGATTTTGATTAATATCAGACTTTATCACAATAACTATCGAGTCTCATCGCTTCTGAAACTGACACCAAGGATGCTAGTGTCCTTCTTCCAACCTTATGCACAATAGCTGCGCACTCTACCTTTAAGCCACGCGTTTCATAACGACAAATTTATTATCAATGTAAAGTTTAGAAATTGTAATTTTAATTAAAACAGATGTTTGATTACAACTTACAATACATAAATTATTAAAATATTTTATCGTGCTTGAAAATAGATAAAATTTTAAGAAAAAATCAATCTCCTGACTATTTTATCTTCTAATACACTGCTGGTCACCCAAAATGCAACATAAAAAAGGTAATCGAAATCAAATTTCTTAGACAAGTGACTCAAATGTGAAGTGATTGAAAATGCAGCTCCATTTGAGTTGGGGAATATGGAGCTGCTGGCAATAGTTGCTGCTACACCCCTCAACATTGAATGAAAGATACTTTTTATGTGTTCTTGGTATATGGTAGTCAATGCTCCTTCTATATGATGCCAAAACTGATATAGTGTATAGCGGGCTGTATATATCGGGTCAGTTGTTTGCCAAACATTAACTAGACATATTCGATGAACGACAATACAGTGAAAGAAGAAAAATTTTGAACATAGAGTGCCGCAGTTCTTTTGAAACATGGTTACCGGAAAGACTTGAAGGTAGGCAACAGACTCTAAAATAGGATCGGACAAATAGATATAGTCTCTAAATCTCAGATATATAGCGCTGGCGGTCAGTGTATTGGCAATGTGTATAAGGGACCCCAAATCATGATGCCAGGTGAAGTACTGATAAGGTGATGTATATAAAATCTCTCGCCATGCTATCGCTAAATGAGGATACTATCCTTGTACGCAGAATTGTAATTCGTCAAAAAAGACAATATTGTGAAATTCCATTGTCCATGTTCAGCGTTCATCGCATCATTGCGCATGAAAGTCTATGGTTTAGAGTAGAACTATCTAAACTTTTTAGCTTAATTGTCACATTGAACTCCTCCCCAAAGTACCAAGGGTCATGACCTAACTGACTTTTAATACCGACCTACTGTTGTTTTGAATTACTCGCAAATTTTCGTTTCGCAACTAAACACTATAACTTCGGCGAGTAAATATTTACGACACGAAGGGTAAAAACTCCTCTCAGTTCGCAATTTAGGTTGGTACTTACGTGAAAAGGACAAATCGTTACTGCGGAGTTGCCCCTTTCACTGCAATAGTACAGTGCCATCTTCTGGTGGAATTACTTAAAAACGCCAATTAATCTTGGTTCTACCGTTTTGTAGCGAGTTGCAAGAAGGACTTTTCCAGAACAAGTAACATGTTCTGCAATAGTTCTGTTGCACTTGATTGCTTGTCTGAATGATTCTAGAGTTTTCGAATATCTAGGCTTTCTAGGGTGTTCCAAGGGTGCTTGATATAAATAGAGGAGACAACCGAGAGTTGGACAGATTCAAATTTTGATTTCGTAGCAACAAATGCATTATTTTGAATTGGAGTTACATTCCTTTTGTGTGGATTTGTATAAATATGGAAAAGAAACGAAATATACGAAGTAAGTGCATAGCATTTAAAGAACAATGGGGATTTGAGGATGAGGGGATTTTGTGATTGAATCTAATAAGACAATGTGTATGATTTATTCTGAAACAATATCAGTTCTCAAAGAATGCAATATAAAAACGAGAATGAGATTATTAAATGAGAGATGAGGTGGGAACTATATTACGAATGGAAGAATACCACTTTTTAGCTACTACTTTATTTTCCTCAAAATAGATTTGTTCTGAATATAGAGTTATTGAACACTAATTAAATTAGAGCCGTGCTATATATAAGCAAAATTATTGCTTAATAGTTTGTCTATTCACATGAAATATTTTGAAATTGTTTAAATAAGTTTTTATTTACTTGCTTACTTCTGTTTATATTTATTTCTATTTTTTTAAGAAAACAGAATACCCAATTACACGCCGTAGAACACTTCTCAAGAATTTTGAATATAATTTAATTGCGTTCTTACTAATAATAAATATTTTGGAAACATTCATTAATAACTTTAATAGTCTTATTATTAATAAGGCAAGTTTTTTTTTTGATAATATTCATTATGAAACGTTGTCATGAACAGGGTTTTAAAGCGTCATATTCCCTTAAGAATTCACATGTTACATTCACATGTTAGTGAATTAATCTAAATTAAGATGTTAAAATACTTAGAAATCAGATAAAAACTAATTATTCATAAATAAATCGTTGTTTTTTTTCAATTTCTTCTATTAGCTCACACTCTCCCTATATATATCTTGTTCAAATTTTAAATCGTTAATCAAATACTTTTTATTCATCCACTCAAGTTGAAAAACATTTTTTTGAACTTGTAGTGGATGACATTTGATGTTAATACAGTTTTTTAAAATATTAATTCAGTAATTAAATTTAATTAGTTAATTTTAGTTTTTTTAGATTTAAGTTGTATATATATACCAATAGAGGGCGCCAGATAAATTTTAAAAAATGTATGAAAATTATTTATAAAGGACTTTCTGCAATATAGCGAAACAAAAGTAGGAATTGAATTATAAGATGTACGCAATTTTTATAAAGGTATTTAATACGATTTTGACAACTGATAGAAAATATTCTCCATTTTCTAATTATTTTTTGATATAATTCTTAATATGGTCTATCATTTTTATGATTTTTACACAATTTGCAACAAGTGGAATTTATTTAAAATTATTATTTTAAATTTTTGATTAAATTTATTCTCATACAGTTAAATGCTATTCTTAGGAAATGCGAAAAGTATCATCATAGTTTGAGAATAGGGATGAATTAATAAGATATTTTATACATTTATTAATTTTTTTTTAAAGTAATGAAGTTGAATATGTAATATTAGACGTATCCAATACAAATTTTGTTAGAAAAAACTTTTGTGCACTTCTATGCTCTGTCAAATTCAAACACACAGTGACAACAAAATTAATAGCATAATATTTGCTTAATGCATTCTTGGAATAAAAACCTATTCATCATTGTTTACCAAATCCAAACCAAATTTATCGTATCTCAGTATAGTAAATATAGGTTACGAAATACTAGAATTATTGGCTTCTTGTTATATTTGATAATTGTTACCTGCTTTCAGAAAGCTTTCAGTTTATATGTCGCTCTTTATTTGTAGATGGATCATGATAAAGCAGCATATTTGCTTGTAATGCGATTCATCTGTTATTTCTAATAATCCAATTAAGTGATCGACTTAGATGAATTACTGTTCCGAATAGCTGACTGAAGCTAAATAATTGCCGTGCGTCTATTACTTATGTTGAAACCTATTTTTTTTTTGCTGAAAACAGTTATGTGCGAACAAGTCTTTTAAAATGCCGTATTACTGAAGTGATAAATGACTTCGTAGAGTCAACTAATTTTTTGGCCGTAGAAGAGCAGAAAATAATTATGATGAAATGTAAAGAACTGACGTTAGTAAATAAGATGTCATCAAGGAAAAACTGTAGGGGATCATTTATACAAAATTTTTATTAATGTTATGAAATTCGTCTTCTAATAGTTGTAAACGATTAATCTTTGTTGAAAATATGTCCTAGATTGCAATTAAAAGAAAATAAACAATTTTCTCAATCTAATTCAGCGGTTTTCAAACTTTTTTAAAGTTGGGGTGCATTAAAAAAAACGTACAAATAATTGTAGACGCACTATATATAAATTTCTGAGAAATAAGCATCAGCTACTAACTCCTCACAATTTTGTTTCCCAATGATCAACTCCACAGACTACTTAGAAACGGCAGAGCCTCATAGAGATTTTAGCGATATCATTCTGTAATGTGGTATTTCAGCTCTAGGCATTGCTATGTGACAGTAGCAGTAACCGTTATCACTTCTTTTGTAGATCAGCGATATTCAACTGGGTACTGCACATGCATTGTGTAAGGGGGAAAAAGATGGGTAAACGCTATAAGATCTATGCTGACATTCAGAATTGAAACAAAAGAATGTTAACTTTTCTTTGGGATTGTATTTTATATTTAATAGATTATATTTCAACGAGTATTCTTTCTTTAAAAGAAGCATAATGTTGAGGCCAACTATTTTCTTAATTTCGTACTAAAGTAGGTACTGTATCACCGTTTGGCAATTTTCTTCACGCATTACTGCAAAAAGACAGTTATGTATTTTTTTGTATTAATAAATTTGTATGAGTTAATTAAAATTTACAATTAGACACAAATAAATTCTAGTTATTTACTTTTAAACTCGATCTACATTAAAGGAACTTTGTATTTAAATTTTTCTAGAATTAAAAAAAAAAAATGGAAGCATTTGTGTTGAAAATCGTTGTAAGATAGGAAATTTTTTTCCCTTCTCGCCAACAGAATAGAGAGTCAACAAACAATTGCCTAGATGCCCTCGTATATGTTAAACTACAAAACCCTGAAATATATGTTGTTGTTTCTTATCCCGCTTGGCTGGGCAAGCCCACGAGCCCATACGTACTCATGATTGAAGGGGAAGGAAGCAGCTTCTGTTGTGATGGAGCACCCGTAGGTAGAAGTCTGACTTTGGCTCCTTGACGCTCTTGTCATAGGAGACCGGGACCTACGGCTTAAAGTGGATTCCGAACCACTATACAAACATCCATGGCACCGCCGGGATTCGAACCCAAAACCTGTCGCACCGAGCGCCAGAGCGCTAGACACTCGGCCATTCAGGTCCCAAATTTGTGAATGCCAACAGCACGCGGTGTTCCCAGTGTCACCCACCCAAGTACTGACCGCGCCCAATGATGCTTGACTTCGGTGATCTAACGAGAACCGGTATATTCAGTATGGTATAGCCGTGGGTTCCTGAAATATATGTTTAACACTAATTCTAAATCAGTTAAAAATACTTCTTATCTATAAATGAGAATTGTTATTCATTAACATAAAAATCTCCAATGTAACACACACACACAAACATATATATATATATATATATTGCCATTCTTGTAAGCTACATTATGATACAGGCTACGATATACGAATATCACTCAACAAAATCGCTTTTTAAACGTTGTACATTAATTCTAAATAACAATTAAACCAATTCCTATGTGCCTGTGAAAAGTATAAGGCTTTCCTTTCACAAATTTCTCGACCAAATCGCAAAATAGGGGCCGTTGGAATTTGGCGAGAGAGTGCCAATTGAGTGATAAGTCACCAAATGTGGTTCACTTACAATTGCAACATTTTTCTTGACGCACTTTTGCGAATAGTTTTTTTTTGACACCAAATCCCAGCGGCTACTATTTTGCGATTGCGCCAATTTCTCAACAGAAACATGCACAGAGATACTTTTAACCCTTTAAGAAAGCGACCATTCCCATACAAATCAATGTTTGTAGAATTATGTACCCATTACATGACCAACATGTTTACTTGAAACTGACAACCCTTATGTGCTTTCAATTTTATTATGGCTTACCCACGTAAGTGTTTTTCAATGAACTAACAGTAATCACGTGCGATACTCAAAGACATCAGTAAATTTTTGGAAAGCATCAAGATTAATTACTTATTAATCAGATATCAGTTTCAAAACAAATGACGCTGACACGAGAAACGGTGCCTCACTTTTTTATAAAAGAAATAAAAAAATCAGATCAAGTACGTTGGTAGCCCTTTAAGATAAAGTACTTATTAACCATTAATCATTGGGATAACAAATGATAACATATGATTAATTGCTTTTTTCCTTATAAAAATTCGGCTTGCGTTACTTTTAATTGTTCGTGTTTTGAAAAAAGTTAAACAGATGTGTCTTAAGTCATAGATAAGAACCTGAAATAAAAAGCAGTTTTGTCATGATGGATATGAAAACGATTAAGATGGTAGCAACGATGAAAAAATTTAAATTTGATAATTGCATTTAATTTCTTTTCTGTGAAATTTATCTACGAAGTTTCCTGTTTCAAATTTTTTAGTTTTGAAAAATATTCTAAAATATATAATTTTGAATATTTAGTCCAGAAATTTTAGGCAAATATAATCGAAATACCTATTTTTTTTAAAAAGGAATATATTCCTTTTGATGATAATTTTTTACTCGATTAAATCGTGTTCTGAGGCAATAAAAATTCTTTCCTATTAAAAGGAAAACAAAGCAAAGTATAATACATTCTAAAACAATAAAAAATAAAATACACATTGACCCTAATATAATACCTGTATAAATAGGATTGCATCAGTACTGCAAAATGTATTTAATATCATGCAATAGATCATGTATTTAAAAGCATATATAACATATGTGCACAATGTATTTAATAGAATAATGTGGATCAAGTAATGTGTCCAGACACACTGTGGAGTTTTTGTATCAAGAGTACTTTGATACTTTTGGAGTATTCCACACATTGAATGAGTCCCACAGGTGGATATTCTATACAATATTTCCATTCTATGCATGCCTAGTTTATAATATCATTTAAGGTAGCAAATAAGGATAGAGCTGTTGCTTTGAGTTCTATTGGTTTACAAAAATTCTATACAATATTTCCATTCTATATATGCCTAGTTTATAATATCATTTAAGGTAGCAAATAAGGATAGAGCTGTTGCTTTGAGTTCTATTGGTTTACAAAAAATTCTATACAATATTTCCATTCTATGTATGCCTAGTTTATAATATCATTTAAGGTAGCAAATAAGGATAGAGCTGTTGCTTTCAGTTCTATTGGTTTACAAAAAATTCTATACAATATTTCCATTCTATGTATGCCTAGTTTATAATATCATTTAAGGTAGCAAATAAGGAGAGAGCTGTTGCTTTGAGTTCTATTGGTTTACAAAAAATTCTATACAATACTTCCATTCTATGTATGCCTAGTTTATAATATCATTTAAGGTAGCAAATAAGGAGAGACCTGTTGCTTTGAGTTCTATTGGTTTACATAGAAATAATTTTTCTATTGATAACATGCCACCACAAAATCGTATATAGAGAATGACATGGGTATCTTCATTGCTATCTGTTGCCGTAATTGAAGACAATTTGTCACACAACTTTCCGAAAACTGGTGTTGTACATCTTCAGCTATAATTCAGCTTCCATTCACAATTGCTTCTTACACCTGGCTGTTTGATATGATACTTTGTACGGGGAAAGCAAGCTATTTTCATTCATAGAAAAAGCTGGTCATTGGTCATTATCTAGTATGAAATAAAAAATATAATAATAATAAACAACATAATAACTTTACTTCTTTTTTGCGTAGTTATGACGTTATTATGTCTATTATACGCCATGTCGATCATACGGCGTCATTATGTCCGACGCAGGGCTTAAATACCCCAGTGTCTAGCGCTCTGGCACTCGGTGCCACAGATTTCAGGTTTGAGTACCGGAGGTGACATAGATGTTTCTAGTGGTTTGGAATCCACTTTAAGCCGTAGGTCCCTGTCTCATATATCAGTAAGAGCGTCACGGAACCAAGTCAAACTTCTACCTACTGGTGCTCCATAACACAACAGCAGCTGCTCCTTTCCGTTAGGATCCCATGAGTAGGACATCCAATGATAACAGACATCCAATGAGTAGATTACTCATGCGATGTAGTTCTAGTGGTAAAAATGAGTAGATTACTCATTTTTTTCTCCTTTAACGAACTTGAATATGCCGTTGCGTAACTGAATTACGTGATAAGAAGTTGAGCAAAATCTTGAAATTTATAGACTGCCATGAATTGTTGATGTCCGTCGCGTATTGCAGGACACTGAGGATTAGCTTAAATGGCTCAATGTCATCCATCCATGAGTAGGACATCCCATGAGTAGATTACTCATGGGATGTCCGTCCCGAATTTCAGGACACTGAGGATTAGACAACACAATAACAACATGTCCCACACAAAAAGTAAAAAGTTTACAAAAAAAAAAAAAAAAAAAAAAAAAGACATTAAATCAGTTATAATTTAATGTCTTTTTTTATGTGTCGTATCAATCAGGAGGGAAATGAAAGTTTTAAATCAACATCTGAAATCATCTGAATATCTTAAAATTATTAATACTTTTAGAATTTGCAATTTAAAAAAGCGCTCCTCGTCTTCTTATTAAGGCGATGGACAACTTTCAATGATAAAATTGCACACTGCACCGTCAATTTTAGCAGAGGCGACCTCGATTTTTAGTTGAAATGATATCTATCTTTTCTTTTTTTTACTTCGCACAGTTAAAGTGTAATGGGATCGGAAAGCAACCGGTGTGCTCATGTCAAAGTAGCGGCTGCGGTACGCCCTAACGAGTCTGTCTTTAAAGAAAAAAAAAAAACCGACATAGAAACATAAAAATGAGAAATTGATCATGTCTAGAGAGCGCCCACTAGCAAGCCATTTTTTTTCTCCTTTAACGAACTTGAATATGCCATTGCGTAACTGAATTACGTGATAAGAAGTTGAGAAAAAATCTTGAAATTTATACACTGCCATGAGTTGTTTGAGTCAGAATGTTCGAAAATTGACTTTGGAAAGTACAGTTGAAAATTTTGAAAAAAAAAATTATTTTGAATTTTGACTTGTTGATATCTAATGCAAATGTATAAGCTTAAATAAGTAGTTAGCGTCATGTAAATAAAATTTTTTATCGCCAAACTTTTTGAACATCAATTCCTTCAAGAACTGCTTGGATTTTTATCGACCTTTTCTATTTTAGTGTTACGTAATTATAATATTAGGTTGGGGAAAAAGAAATCCATTATTTTTTCGATAGATGGCTGTAGTGATCGATATCACGTAAAGTATCAATTAAACAATTTCAGATTTATGCTCGTTAGAAAGGTGGCACTTCGTACTAAAATAATTCTTTTTCTGTTTTTTGTTTGGTCCATTCAGTTGGGAGTTACAGGGTGTTAAAAATGGAAGTGAACAAAGAGAAAATTCGGTACATTTTACATTTTTTCTTTGACAAAGGCGAAAATGCAAGCCAGGCGGCTAAAATTGTGAATGGTGTTTATGGTTCCGATACTGTAACAGCCAATTATGTGCAATTTTGGTTTCGTAGATTCCGTTCAGGAATTTTTGATGTTAAAGACTCACCTCGCACAGGTAGGCCGGTCGTCGAAAATGTCGATAAAATCGGAGAAATGATCGAAGTTGACCGGCATGTTAGCAGTCGTAACATCGCCCAGGAGCTAAAAATCGACCATAAAACAGTTTTAAACCATTTACACAAAGCTGAATTCAAAAAGAAGCTCGATGTTTGGGTGCCACACCAATTAACAGAAAAAAACATGATGGATCGAATTTCCATCTGCGAAGCCTTGGCCAAACGGAATGAGATAGACCCATTTCTTAAACGGATGGTGACTGGAGATGAGAAATGGATCACATACGATAACCCTGTGCGAAAACGATCGTGGTCAAAGAGCGGTGAAGCACCTCAAACGGTGACCAAACCAGGACTAACGGCCAGGAAAGTTCTGTTATGCATTTGGTGGGACTGGAAAGGGATTATTTATTATGAGTTGCTTCCATATGGCCAAACGCTAAATTCTTCTCTACTGTCAACAAACCGTTTGAAGATAGCGATTGACCAGAAACGGCCAGAATTGGCCAACAGGAGAGGTGTCGTGTTCCACCAGGACAACGCTAGGCCACACACATCTACAGTGACTCGCCAGAAACTTCGGGAGCTTGGTTGGGAAGTTTTAATGCATCCGCCATACATTCCGGACTTGGCACCAAGCGATTATCATCTTTTCTTGCATTGCAAAATTTCTTTAATGATAAAAAATTGGCATCTAGGGAGGATTGTGAAAATCGACTACTAGAGTTTTTTGCAAATAGAGACCAGGACTTCTATGA